TAATGGTGGGCCTTTGATGGGTAAAGATTTTTTTTTTTTTTTAAGAGGGGGGGCGCCCCCCCCCCCCTGTAGGTTTTAGTTTATTCAGATTTATCTTTCTGGAGTTGATTTATATTATTTTGCACCATGAGTCATAATGATGCATGGTGGTGGCTGCATCATTATGGCAAAGGTCAAGCAGTGAGTCTCTGGAATGAATCACTGATGACTCTATTTCATTAGAGAATTAAAATAGCACTCACTTTTAACAATTATGTACAACAAGAAAAAGCAGTGGATGAACATTTTCTGCTGACTTTGTAATGATTTGAGATTTGTGTAAAGTTCATTCAACATTAGAGTAAAACCCTAGTTCTTCACGTGCCGACATCCAAACTTTTTTAATCCGAGTTTGTCTTTGCCTTGAAAGTTACAAACATTGGGAACATTTGTTTAATTGGTAGAGGAACATTTGTCATAGTGGATATTACGTAAAAAACAGTAGTAACAGTAGCTTTCAAAGTAACACCATATTGGCAATTTTATAATTGCCAATATGGTGCTGAAAATGTTTATTTCTTCCGGTAGTGTTTGATGATAGTTTTAGACAGAGCTTGGGTCAAAAACTCTCCAAATAAGATTGTATGTCAGTACGTAGGATTAACAAAACTCCTTCTTTTAAATGAACTGGCTCAGTTACCTGGAAGAGGCTTATCCCACCAGGACCAACATTTGTCATCATGGAATGAAAGTAATCACTCAAGATAGTCTTATATTGATTTGTTACTTATCCTTTTGGAGGCAGTCCATCACTTACAGGTCATAAAAGTTTTCCTTTCACTTGGCATCCACCTTCAGTGACATATTTCAGTTCTGCTTTAAGTTAGAAAGTTTCAGACACCTCAGGTCAAATAGGAAGAAACGGAAGAAATTAATACAGCATATTTCTGGCTTAATCTACTGGCACCCTGGTGAAGATGTCTTAAAAGTATCACTGGAGCAAATAGCAAAGATGAGCAAAGATTGGGGGAAAATAAAGGAAACTCTAAAAATCAAGCTTTTAATTTGAGCACATGTACTGGGTCTGGAAAAAACTGTTAAGAAATAATTGACTTAAGCAAAATCACCAATGATGCCATTGGTGTTACCCCAGGGATCTCGTCAAATAGGGCATTTTTTTTTAAAAAATATGCCCTACTTTTTAAGCTACACAGTGGGCAGGATGTTAAGTTAAGAGTAAACCTGTTAGAGAACACCATCTTGGGGTCATCAAATGTCCACAACAACTATTTGGCACCCTCTACATGCTAATTGGTTGTTAAGAAATTACACGAACAAAGGAAAATTATTTATTTATTTATTTATTTTGCTAAATTCAACTGGAATTTCCACTAAAACTGTTCTTTGGTCAGATGAGACTATAATTGAGCTCCAGGTGAATCTGTTAAGTAGAAGTGTGGAAAACCACATGTTAACTATGATGGAGGCTGTGTGATGATGTAAGGATGTCTCTCTGCCAAAGGTTCTTGTTAAAGTCCATGGCATGAATGCAACTCTTCAATCCAAGGACATTTTAAACGCAAATATTTCAGGAAAGTGAAAATAGGTCATCACAAGGTCTTCTGTGATCTAAAATGATCATTCGAGCACAGAAATGGTTCCCTGTTGACTTAGTATAAAATCAACCTTTTTTTCCCCCCATCACAGTCCACAGGCATAAATCCTGAGGAAAAACCTATTTGCTGAGCTGAAGAGAGCAGAGCAAAAGAGAAGACCCAGGACTCTGAATGATCTATACAGATTCCACAAAGAGGGATAGTCAAGATCTCTCCATCTCTGTGCATTGCTTCCACCTTGTGAAATGTTGAAAAAGAAGAGTGAGTTATGTTCTAACGACAAAGGGGGGAGGAGAGGCTGCACAAAGCGTAACTCCAGGGGTAGCAATTATTGCTAGTGCTTTTATTAAAAATAATTATTACATTACATTCCACAGATTAATTGTTCTCCAATGAGGTTAGGTTTAACTTTTTAGTGCAAGTGTGTGTTCCTGCAATAAAAAGCAATTTTATGGGGTGGCCGCCACTTTGCGGTGTGTAGCTTAATAAATTAAATGTGATCCTGTTATTTATTTGGAGTCTTTTTCTAATTTATCTCTGTGTGTACATGTCCCCATTCACTCAGCTTTTCTGGAAGACTTATTCTAAGAATCTAATTATAGCGAAAGGTAATTAAGTTAATAGCTCATGGAGGTAGCGTGTTCTCAGAAAAGCGAGATGGATGCCGCGGGTAAGGAGAGGTGATGATGGCACACCCTCCGTGTGTGGATTTACCTTTTACAAACACCTATTCTCAGGGAGAGGAAGAGAGAGAGAGAGAGAGGACGAAGAGGAGGAGGAGGGAGAGTTTGCCCCACATCTTCACAGCTAAAACTGCCTCCGTCGCTGAGACAGTCCGAGATGGAGCCGTCTGTGGGCAACGGAGCGCAGCGTTTCCACTCATGGATCCACGCAGAAAAGGGGGATTTTGGTGAAAAGCGAATATAAACTACAAACGGAGTCCGAAATCAACCCCTCTTTCATCCACCATATGGAGTCAAACTTCATGTTAAACTATTTTAAAGGTAAGATAGTTTTGCCGAACATTGTGTATTGTGTGCGTAAAATGTGTTCCACATGTACAGTGGCCGCTGTAGTGGGCTTTCATTTAACAAAAAGTCTATAGTGTAGAGAAACGGTTTCTGGAAACATTAGTTATATTATAAATGGTGTGTTTTATGTGTAATTTATGCATGAAAAAGTTATGAAGCACGCAACAAAAAGAAAACACTGGAATCTTTTGATCAGAGCCATTTATGGCAGTTTCCACCCATATTAACGCGGTTTAAACCTAAATAAACTTTAATTGCAAATATTAAAAAAAATAGCCTGTAACTCATCTAACTTCCTATTAGTACTAAAAAATGTACACATAACATTCAAAACACTTAATTTATAATTGAAATGTATTTTCTTTTGCTCGTTTCTTTTTCCTACCCTCCTCATTCCCATTATTTTTCATGCATCATGTGATTTTTTTTGCTAATTGGAAATTTGCATATATTAATTCAGTATATCAATTAAAATCAAGAAGAGTGCCTGAAATTTCCACCTAATATTACTGGACATACTGGGCATTTTACCAGTTTAATTTGAGCATATCAGACAGACCTAGGGCAATCTAAAAAGTCTGAGGTTCCAGCCTTTAAGCATATTCTTTCTATTTCCAGTGGAGACTAGAGACGCATGACAGTTTTGATTTTATTATGAAAACACAGGGTGCTTGACATTTAAGAGGGTTCTCTTGTAATCAAATTCAAGCAGTCTCTTGTGATTTCTGTCCTATAGAGACATCATTTTCACGATGGATGCACTTGCCTCAGAAAAACAAAGTGGCTCTGGAAACATCGGGTTGAATCGTCAGAGAAAGCTGCAATGAAAAATATCTACAGAGATAGACAGACTAAAAAAAAACAAATTAAACAAAACAACATGCAAATATGAGGCTTCTTCAATTGGAAATAGTTTAACTCACATGAAATATTTACCATAATCTACAGAGTTTTGCACATTGCTTTTGTTTTTTTTAAATTTTGCCTTCCAGTTTCATGAGTGGTGAGCAGATGGTAACACCAAGACTACAGCAAGAGGATTTTTTCCCACTATTGTCACTTATTGACACTGTGAGATTCATCCAGGATTGATGTTCTTGTCCTTAATAGTCTAACAGGCAATGCTTGGGCTATTGATTGTTCTCTCTCTAGCCTCCATCTCTACAGCGCGTAGCACGCTTAACCCTTGCAGCGTGATTAAGCAGCCCTGGTATCATAGAGACATGAATAGAAGGGTAAATGAGATGAAAATGTATCGATCAGGATAATATGATACCTTTTATTCTGGTCTTGAAGGACAGAACAGAAAGAAGGTAGGGTAGAGTAGAGATAATTGCATTATATGATTTGTGTTCTTCTAATGCAGAAATGCAAAAGGGGTTTGCAACCTTATTAGGCCACTTAGGCTATCATTACAGCTGCTCAGACTGTGATTAAATGTAGTTAAATATATTGGTGCATTTTCCAGAAATCTGGTGTTATAACTGGATTAGCTACCATGCAAGATGTTTGTCATGCAAAGAATTAGCTTTATGCATGATTCACTGCAGTGTTGCTCTACAAAGGCCCTTTTGTGTTGGATGGACTCATTTCATTTCTGTAATGCAAGTTTTTCTCCTCTATATAATCCTCTGCATGCATGCTCATTTTGATTGAATGTGTTTCCAGATTTTCTTCTTTACTCTGTTGCCCTTTTTCCCAACCTGCCAGGTTCTCCTGTAGCAACAGCCTGAGTCTGATTGGGATCTGATGTGTGTCATGGGGATATGGTGAGGCGATGTGCACAAGCTTGTGTGAGAAGAGATGTGGCGCCGTCAGTGGAGGAAGGGGAAGGGGGACAGGTGAAAAGCTGGATCTCTACTCATGGCTGTGCATGTCACTCTTGTTCTCGACCCTGTGGGGTCAAGCAACCCCTCAGTGCCCGGACAGCTGCCACTGTGCCTGGGAGACAGCCACTGTGTTGTGCTCGGACGCAGGGCTGCGGGAAATCCCAGAGGGGATCCCACCAGAGACGGTTTCCTTACACCTGGAGCGCAACTACATCCGGAACATCCCAGAGAGTGCCTTCAGCCACCTGGTCCACCTGCGGGACCTCTACCTGTCCCACAACCGCATCGACTCTCTCTCCTCCGGGGCCCTGCGGCACCTGGGACCTGACCTGCGCCTGCTGGACCTCTCACACAACCAGCTGAGGCAGGCCAGCAGGGAGGAGTTTGGGTCCACTCGCGCCAAGACCCGGCTCTATCACAATCCCTGGCACTGTGACTGCACCCTGCAGGAGCTGATGGAGACTCTGAACCTGGAGCCCGAGACCGTGAATGGGATCATCTGCGAGAGCTCCGTGCGGGGCGTGGGGGAGGGGAGCCGGTGGGAGGACCCGGGATCACCAGGCGAGCACACAGGTCAGCCGCTGGTCAAGCTGCTGGACTCCGGGGTGAACTTCTGCAGCCTGCAGAGGAAGACCACGGATGTAGCCATGCTCGTGACCATGTTTGTGTGGTTCTTCATGGTCATTGTGTACGTTGTGTACTATGTCCGGCAGAACCAGGCTGAGGCCCGGAGGCATTTGGAGTACCTGAAGAGTCTACCCAGCCCACGTAAGACCCCTACAGAGACAGACACGCTGAGCACGGGCTTCTGAGCTGAATGCTGTTGAAACTTAACATTCAGATGCCATATTTATGGAACGTGACTCTGAAACGCTGACAGAAGTTACTGAAGTTACCAACTATGGAGGGAATTAACCTTTTACAGCGGTTTGATTATTCCTTTAAATTCTTATTCTAAACATTTATTTTCTTATGACGTTTTTGTTTTTCAGTTTTAGTACAAAATTTGACATATTTTTCAACTTGTACTTTCTGCACTGAGAGAGGAGAGGAAAAGTTATGAAAGCGCAGCAGGTAAAGATAAGGCAGGACTATGTATGGAGAAAGACTTTTTGAACTTAATAACATTCTGTCTCCCTTTGTAGCCCCTCTTTTCTTCTCCCTCCATGCCTCGTACTCTGGTCTTTTATCTTTCATTAGGTTCTAATTAGGAGATGCTGACCAGCTGACCCCTAATGAACACTTGAAAGGCACTAATCAGTTGGAGTGTGTTTGTCAGGTGTGCAAATTCAGATGTGTGTCCTTTAGATGCTGTTTGAGTCATCTGTATGTGTGTGTGCACGCATACATGTGTGTGTGTATGTGGTGTTTTTAGGCACTGTCACGGCCATTCCTACTTTGAAAGCCCTGATTTTGCACAGATCCTTACCAGGCCTTCAGTTTTAGACAAACACCACACTACTCATCTAAATTTACTCTGGACAAGCAGGAGAGGATGTGCTTTGTCCTTAAGCTGCAGCAAACAGTTTTTGAAAAATCTCAACAGACGCAATAATTGGTACAAAGAAATTTTGAGCTGAGTTAGTGAAATGGGTTGCTATCTATAGGTTTTGCTTTAGTTCCTATTTGTGTTTGGGTTACGGGAGTCTAATTGTGCCAGAATTCAACAAAGATCTCAAACATGAAATGAACAAAACAAATGCATAAATTATTTAAGTAAGTACTATTGTCTTGATAAACGTGACTACATGGATTTTAGGTATGACATGGAAATTTCAGAGTTTTTTAAATTATCTTATGGCTGTGGGCTGCAGAAGATCAGCTCTACTAGTCAAAGCCAGAGGTCCCAGAGTTTACATGCTACATAAGAAGCCACAGTGACAGTATAAAGTATTTTATAGTGTACTACAGCGAAGAAAGCTTAAATTGATTTAGTAATTGCTGAAATAGTCAGATCAAATTTCAACATATGACTTCACATTCAAATTGTTTTTCATTTACTTATATAATTTTGCATTTAATAAATTATTGAAATATTTGAATAAATATTGGTAAATCGGATTTATTCATTTCCAGGTTTGTTTTAATTTGAATATGCATAAATATAATTTAATGCTTTATTTGCTTTCTTCATTTTGGAGCTTTTTGTTCTCCATAGTTTACCACATGGACTCTATCAGATCTGCCTCCATTTTTAAAGACACTGGGAAAATAATCACATCACTTATTATTAAAAGAGTCAAACATTTTGTTGTAACATGTTAGGAAATCTGTCTAAATTAATGAATTTCTTCTCCAGTTTTCTCCACATATTGAACTAAAACCCCACTGAATTAACAGCCACATTTGATTGATTTTCATGAGGGTATTGCAACCATACTTATTGTACAAATAACTCCAGCGTCCTCAATGGGATATGTTAGTGATGTCTTAAAATATTAATGCAATTCCTCCGTGCTACAATAAGAGATCTAAAACAAAACCCCTTTCTATTGGCAATTATAAATGTAGAGAAATGGTTCAAAATATTGTTCCCTTAATTTATACATCTGCATTAATGTCACAACATCAAATGTTCTTTGCACATTTATTTTGACCAAAAATGAATAAATTGAAGAAAAGAATGACTCAAATAAGTGTCTTGACATTCAAATTACACCTGAGTAAACGTGTTGGGAGATGAATGAAAATAGAGTTCATGTAAGTGTAGTGTTATGTACATTTTTGTTTGTTTTCAGAGCATTGCATTTCTTAGTATCATCGCATTATAGGTTTTGGGTGGTTTGAAAAATAGCAAAACATTTTTGAATGAGATTCCAGAAATTGTGCTTGACCCGCCAGAGTTTTCTCCAGCATGAAGAAACACAGTTCTCCCCCCAACCCCACCTGTTGCTACCAAATGCCACAAAGCTGGTTGAAAGAAACCCAGTAAATTTTTTCCTTGTCCCCAAAGTTGGACAAAAATTGGAATGATGAACAAACAGAAGGAACCTTATCCATAACTTTTGGTAGCAATATGTCGGTCAAACAGCTGGCTGCAGCCTGTAATAGCATACTGTGAAACCATGGTACAGGATAACATGGTTTTACTGTATGCTACTTGCATAAAAAAATCTAAACTATATATATATATATATATATATATATATATATATATATATATATATATATATATATATATATATATATATATATACATATATATATATATATATATATATATGTATATATATATATATATATATATATATATATATATATATATATATATATATATATATATATATATATATATA